TGAACAAAATGGGAGGTATGGCACTTTTTTGGAACAATGAAGTGAAGATCTCAGAAGTACTAGGAACTGCTTTCACAATTGAGGCAAAAGTGGAAGATGAGGAGAAGAAGGAAAGCTGGTGGTTCATTGGAATATATGCCAGCTGTGACAGTCTCATAAGAAGGGGGCAGTGGGAAGTAATTAACAGAAGAAAAGCAGGGTGGGGGAAAAATGGATTATCATGGGTGATTTCAATGATATTATCTCCAATGATGAAAAATGAGGTGGTAGGATGAGGGATAATAGAAGTTTCCAAGATTTCAGGAATTTCATTAATGATAACCAGTTGATAGATGTGGGCTATGAAGGGAAGCCATGGACTTGGAGTAACAATTGGTATGGGATTGGGGAAGTAAAAAGAAAGATTAGACAGGGGATTGTGCAATGTAGAATGGTCACAATGTTATGATGAAGCCTATTGCACACACATTGAATCTCATGCCTCAGACCATAGTATGCTGGTACTGGAAACCCAGAGAGAAAGAAAGAAAAGGAAAAAAAGGTTCCAGTTTGATAAGAGATGGCTGCAGAAAGAAGATATAGAGGGAGTGATTCAGAAGGCATGGAGTATTCCCTGTAATGGAACAAGATGGTTTAAGGTTAAGGAGAAAATAAAAAACTGCAGAGTTGAGTTGTTGAAATGGAGTAGCTGTAAGAAAGGGAACTCGTTTGAAAAGATCAAATGGTGCAAAAAACAGATTGAAGACATTAAGGCATCGACATCTGATGATAAAAGACAGCAAGTACAGGAAATGAAAAAACAACTAAAAGTGGCTTATAATGAGGAAGAAGCTTTTTGGAACCAGAAATCTAGAATAAGCTGGTTGAAGGAAGGGGATAAAAATACTCAGTTCTTCCATGCAACTGTGAAGGGGAGGAGGAAAAGGAATAGATTGCACAAGTTAAGAAAGGCGTGTGGTGATTGGACAGCAAATGAGGAGGAGCTGGGTAGAGAAGTTGCTAACTACTATGGTGATTTGTTTAAGTCCACGGCAGCTGGGGAGCTTGATGAGATCTTAGAAGGGATTCCTATCACTATAACTGAACAAATGAACAAGGATCTGACTAAAAAAGTGGATGAAAATGAGATAAAGAATGCATTCTTCTCTATGGATCCTAATAAGGCTCCTGGTAGTGATGGCATGTCCCCCCTCTTTTTCCAAAAATTCTGGAGTCTTATCAAAAAGGATCTAGTAAATGCAATCCAAGGGTTCTTCCATAATGGTGTCATCCTTAAGGCCATAAACCATACTGTTATATCTCTGATTCCAAAAGTTGAATGCCCCACAGTGATTAACCAGTATAGGCCTATTAGTCTTTGCCAAGTGGTCTACAAAGCTCTAGCAAAAATCCTTGTTAACAGACTCAAGCCTTATCTCAGTAGATGCATTAGTAAAAGTCAGTCTGCATTTGTACCAGGTAGGCAAATTTTAGACAATGTCATTCTGTCCCATGAATTGATGCATTTTCTCAAAAATAAAAGGCATGGTAGAATGGGATATATGGCTGTGAAATTAGATATGTCTAAGGCCTATGACAGGGTAGAATGGAGATTTTTGAAGGTAATAATGGTGAAAATGGGGTTCTGCTCTACTTGGATAAATTGGATCATATCATGTATCAGCTCAGTCACCTATTCCTTCAACATTAATGGCGAACATAAGGAGCTTATTACACCTTCAAGAGGTATCAGGCAAGGAGATCCTCTATCTCCTTACTTATTTTTGTTATGCTCAGAAGGACTATCAAGCTTATTACAGAAAGCAAAGCTGGGGAAGGAGTTAACAGGAGTTAAAATCAGCAGGGGGGCGCCAGTCATCACTCATCTATTCTTTGCTGATGACTCCTTGGTGTTCTGCAAAGCTAGCAAACAAGAAGCTGAGAAACTGATCATGATACTTAAAGAGTATGAAGAGGCAACTGGACAGCTTATTAACTTGGAAAAGTCATCAGTGTTCTTTAGTAAAAATACAATGCCAGATGTGAGGGAAGAGGTCTGTCAGGCGCTGGGATCAATTAAACAGGTAGAGCAAGGCAAATACCTTGGACTGCCTATGATTATTACAAAATCAAAGAGCCAGGTCTTTGGATTTATAAGGAACTCTATAGATAAGAAACTGCAAGGATGGAAAAATAAGCTTCTGAGCCAGGCAGGGAAAGAGATTATGCTCAAAGCTGTGGCAATGGCCATGCCTACCTACACAATGTCCTGTTTCAGACTAAATTCAAAGCTGTGCAGAGAAATAAGCTCGAAAATGGCAGACTATTGGTGGGGTGATACTGATGGTAAGAAAAAGCTTCACTGGATAAGTTGGAAGAAGATGACACAGAAAAAAAGCAAGGGAGGGATGGGGTTCAAAGACTTGCAGCTGTTTAACGAAGCTCTTCTGGCTAAACAAGTTTGGAAGCTGATCACGTAACCAAATTTGTTAGTCAGTAAAGTGTTAAAAGGAAAGTACTACCCCAAGCAACCTCTTTTCAAATGCAAAGTGCCTCAGAATGCATCTTGGATCTGGCAGAGTTTAGCAGATATCAGAAAGGATATGCAAGCAGGAATTAGGAGGAAAATTGGCAACGGGAAAGGAACCAGAATTTGGTGGGACAACTGGATTCCAGATAGACCTGAAGGAAGACCAACATCAGTCCAACCACAGGGGTGTCAACTGGAGTATGTCTCTGAACTGATCAGGAATAACAGATGGAATAGAGTGCTGGTATTCAAAACTTTCAATCCTCAAGATGTTGAGAGAATATTAAGCATACCTTTAAGTATGACTGGAATAGAGGACAGCTACTGGTGGAAGCATTCTCAAAATGGTCAGTACTCGGTTCAATCTGGATATAAGACTTGGATGAAGGAAAAAGAAGCAGAGAGATCAAGGAAGCGGGAAGAAGCTGGAACAAGCTATGAAGGAACCAATCCTAGGATTTGGAATACATTGTGGCAGCAAAATGTAAGTCAGAAAATGAAAGTTTTTGTTTGGAAATGTCTGCACAATGGTATCCCAGTCAGAGAGACAATCTATACTAGAACAAGGCAAGGAAATCCCATATGTACAGGATGTGGGGAAAAGGAAGAAACCATTGAACACATGTTGTTCCAATGCAACAAGGTATTGGTAATCTGGAAACTGGCACCAGTACAATGGGATGGAATAGCACATCTATCAGACTGCTTTACCAAATGGTGGCTAGCAATTCAAGAAGCTCAAGGCAGCAGAGGTGTTGAGGACCAAGTTAATCTCACCATAAATATTCTCTGGCAGATATGGAAAGCTAGGAACGATAGAGAGTTTAACCATAAGGAAAAAGAGCCTTCCAAGGTAATTGAGAAGGCGCTGAAGGAATGGATAGAATTTGAGGAAGCTAACAAAGGGAAAGATTCAAGGAAGAGCACTCAAGAAACAGAACTACAGCAATGGAATGACCAAGATCAAAATGAGAGCCATGCTGGATTGATATTAAAGATCCACACCAGTACGGACAAAAGGCAAGCAGCAGTAGGGATCGGAATCTCAGCAACAGACAACATGGGAAGATTGCAAGCATTTTGGGCACTAAGAGAATAGTCATCAGGTGACACTTTACAAGACCAGGCTGTTGCAGTTAGGCTAGCTCTACTGAAAGCTGGAAGTCAAGGATGAAGGAGCATCAGAATAGAACTGGACAACCGCAAGCTGGTAGATGCCATAAAGGGAGCAAGGCTCAACAATCAGCAGATGGCTACATTAATTGAGGACATTAGATCAATCTGTACTTTGTTTCATCAGTGCTCCATATCTTTTGCCAACTCTAGGAAATTAGAATGTATTAAGCTAAGCATTTATGCTCTAAACATCTGGATAGATGAAGAATGGGTGAATCCCAATCTTAGATGCTAGGCATCATTGATATTGTGGGACAGCTTGTCCTTTTGAATTGGACCTTTGTCCAAATACTGTAAAGGTTACGAATATATATATAAAGCTAACGTTTCAACAAAAAAAAAAAAGATACCAGGGTAGGCCCGTCAATCGGGTCTAATGAGCCGGGCTTTGAGGAGTTCAAGTTCAACTCAATTAATTTGAAATATTTTTGGGCTTCGAGCTATGAGTTTTGGGTTCATAAATGTGAAATTCATACTCAACTCACATAATATTCGGGTTGTGAGTCTTAATCGGGCTTAGCCTAAACTCACTTATTACTCCTTAATTTTCTTAATATAATTACTATAACTATTAAGTTGTAAAACTAATTTAACATTTACAAGACTATAATATTAAAACTAAACATGAACAAATAATAGTTCTTAAAAAGTATATAAACCAAAATTTTTTTCAACAATATTTATATTTAATTCGTTCAAAATGCATGAAAAATAGTAATAAAACATGCGATCATAAGCCAATACATCTTTAAAAGTTGAAACTTTTTTTATAATCTTGTGATTTAAATCCATATATGCTTGATGATTTTTGTGTTTGTAGACAAAAAAAAAAAAATCAACCAATATTATGTCAATACAAAAATTTACTCAACCAATAAGAAAAGTTAGAGATTTAGTGATGCATTACTAATATTGGCTCCCAAGAAAGCTCATGAAAGAGTCTTTAGATGTATTTTTGTGTTTTGTAATTTATATATATATTTAGTATTGAGTAATAATATATTTGGATATATAATCATACATAATATCAAAATATAAATATTATATATATAGGTAATTAAAGAGTTGGGCCTATATCGGATTTGAGCCTAATAAGGCCCAAACTCGACTCATATTTAATTCGGACCTAATTTTTAGGTTCAAACTCAGACCGGCTCACTAAATAGCCGGGCTTATCGGGCTTTCTATTGGGCTAAACGAGCCGACCTCGAGTGGGTCCAGCCCCATTGACAGTCCTATACCAGGGACTGTACCAACCAATTCTCCATAATAAACTGCTCTTGGTATCATCTCGCACCATTTCTACTTCCTTCCACAAATTCCATCCTCTCAGCTTGGCTAGATGGGTAAGTTCTTGATTCACAGGATAGTGATTCTTTCATCTATTTATGCCTTTTTTTTGGTCCCTTTATCAGCTAAAAGGTGAATATTTTCTTCAGCACAAGAAGTGGAGGGCAACCATCCAACTCTGCTCATAGATGGAGATGGAAATTTCAACTCAAAATTTGAAGATGATCTGAAATTGGCTGCCGTGAGCCGTCCCGTTGCTGTTGTCTCCGTCTTTGGCGTGCAAAGCACCGGTAATCCGTATTTTTGTTGGGTGCATCTTAAGTTGTTATTTACAAATTTCCATCCAAGTCAAAATTGGGACCAATTACCAGCAAGTTTTGATTTATGCAGGAAAGAGCACACTTATGAATTCTCTGCTCTCTACTGGCTTCGAAGTGATGGATGCCAGCCAGGGGATGTATGAAGACCTTATTCAATTTTTAATAACACCAGAGTTCTTTCTTTTTAGTTAGTAACAATGACAAATTTCATGCTTAATTATGTGATCCATGTACAAGATCTCTCTCTCCCTCACCTACCCTTTTAACTTCTTGTGTGTTCTTTTTGTTCCGGGTTACTTTTAATTACCTCATTAGGCATCAAACGACAAAAGGTATTTGGGTGGCAAAATACCCTTTACCAAATCCAAATGGTGGCCATGAAATCCTCGCTGTTGATACGGAAGGAAGTGATGGAATAGAGCGAGAGGTAGTTTTCAAATTTATTGTCTTCAAATGACAGAGTTAACATGTCTCAGGAAACCGTACCTTAATTACTGTAAAGAGTACTCCACTTTGCTAGTTAAATTGTCCAAATTAGATTGAATTCACTTTCTGATTCAGTTTTCCTGTGTCTTTTTCCAGGATGATACGAAGTTTGAGAAACAAACTGCACTATTTTGCTTGGCTGTTTCAAACACCGTCATAGTCAACATGTAAGCTTGGTTGTGAGGCGCGCATCACAACTCCATAACCTTTAAATTTTAGTAGCACAATGTCAAACGGTCTTGTCTTTTCCTTCTCATGATGTCCCTAAATTTGAGAAAGATAAACAGCTTTAAAAGTTAAAATCAAGTAGAATTATTGAAATTCCAAAGAGGTAAGCATTTAAAGGGTATAGTTTAAACAATTCATCTATCACTTCTCCCTTTCTTTTGGGCTTGTTAAGGTCAAGAAATAATGCAATTTGGTATTTGGTTGGTATGGATTGATATACACTTTACCATAAGCTAAACGGTTCATATGTATTTTTGAGAGAAATATATATACTAAGATGAGGTAGGGGATTGGAAGCGCATTGAGTCACATACTTCCATTGGTTATCCAGAATAGAAGGACAATTTTTACCCTCGTATATAGGGTAAATTACTTATAATCCACTGTGATTCTACATAATGCCTGATGACTTTCCTAAAATTTCAAGAGAGCCATATAGCCCCCTATAATTTTATGTAAAATGAAAAATAGATGGAATGCATAATCAAGGAAGGCGTTTATACCAAATGCACAATAAAAGTATGTGTGACAAAATTTTAGTCTCCATGTAAACCTCTTATGATTTATATAAATATCCACTTTATTTCCCTGTGATTTTTGCATTTATTCACGTAATCCCTTTATACTTTTATACAAGATAGTTAAGGCATCAATTGAATTAACATTTAAGTGAGGGTACAATTGGTTTTTCAATTAACGACATTACATGGGCTATTTTCCATCAAGTTTTGATTTTATAGAAAATCATAGGGGGTGAAATGGATATTTTGAAACGTTAATGAGGTCATGTAGCAATAAACGAAACCATAGGAAAATTATATGTAATTTACCCTATATATATATATATATATATATATATATATATATATATATATATATATATATATATATATATATCTCCTCCCTACCAACCAGAATGACGGTTGTCTCCATTTTTAAAAAAAATGAAGTTAACTCCACATTTTTTACATTTTCACTACACAAAATTTCTGATATGTTACTGAATAATTTCATTAGCAATTGTCCACTGTTTTCATACGATTAATTAACTCAAGGTACCATAAATGTTCATACTTTCAAACTGGTAATTCAATTTCATTAAATGTAGCTGAAGTTGTTAATTTTTATGTATATATATTCTCCTTAAAATCTACTCATCGAAGGAGGTACTTCACACAACATAGTAAGTCAACTTTTTATTAATCAAACAGGAAGTGTGATACTGTTAACCATAATAATGGAGGGAATCGGCCACTCTTACGAACTGTAGTTGAGGTAAGCAATTTTCATGGCTCAATAATTTGTTGGTGTTTCTGGTATAGTATTATCTCTATAACACTGTACACCTCAGGTAATGATTACAAAATTTTGTACTCCACGGAAAGTGAATCTAGTATTTGTTCTTCGTGACAAAAACGAGGTATAGATTACTAATTCCTTTTCTATTTTCTTGATATTCCGTTGATTAATTAACTAGTGCTTAATCACAACAATTCATCAGTATTTGTTCTTCGTGACAAAAACGAGGTATAGATTACTAATTCCTTTTCTATTTTCTTGATATTCCGTTGATTAATTAACTAGTGCTTAATCACAACAATTCATCTGATGAATTGTTTTGAATCTAGTGCCCTCGGGATAAGTTGGAAGAACAGCTGAAAGAAGGAATGTACAAGGTAAAAAGCATCTGTAATTGTTATCAATTCTCATGATATCGTGCTACTGATGTTTTATATATTTTATAGATATGGAAAGAAATGAAGAAGCCCGAAGCACAGTTGAATGCTTCGCTAAAAGATTTCTTCAATGTAAGAGCTGCGACTTCTAATAATCTTTGCACATCTTTTTTTTCCCTCTGTTGGTTCTGAACTCTATTCTTCAATTTGTGTAAACTAGAGGACGAAAACAAGAAAGAAACAAAAGCAGAAATTAAATAAACCTAGGGTATGAAACTTTTATAGTTTTTCCCAAGTATACACTATCCTCCAAATCTTGAGTCGATCTACAATATGACATGAGCTCCAAAGTGATACAATTAAAAATAAAAATAAAAATTTGAGAACTTAAATCAAAATCAGAAGTGTCAGAGTTTTTATGAGGTTAGGGTAACAAGCATACATTTCTTGGTGTTGATTTGGATTTCACAGGACATATATATATGTGCTTGACCATAATAATGAATTACTGTAATTTCGTTGAAAATGGCTCCCAGTCCTGGCTTCAAATTGAGAAGAATGCAATCTCAGTGCAAGGCTTTGGCGCTAGAGTCAGTGCAATAATTGGCATTTATCTGTCTCAGTAAGTGTGCCTTGCAATATCCTTAGGATTCTCAAGTTTTAGAATTGATGCTTTCTTTATGGTAATACTGTAAAATTCCTTGGAATGATGAGGAATTTCTCAATTACTATTTTATCTTAAAATAGTTACTTTTTCCCAAAAAAAAAACTCTCTAGAAAGTGTAATCCAAACCATTATTCTATGTGCATGGTGTGACTGTAAATCCCACAAAGAAACTCGGATCGCAAAAAAAAAAAAAAAAAAAAAAATCCTTTGCATTGCTGATTGTGTACTCATATTTTTCGATAATTTGGATAGTTAAATCTATCATGAGGTTACTGATGATTGTTCAAAGCTTTTATCCAGGTATGATGAGGAAGCTCAACACTATGATGAGACCAAAAGGGACGCAAGCAGGAAACAGCTAATTGAAGACATCATGAAGGTACCCTAGGAATTGTTAATCTTTTCTTACTTATTTTGCATTTCTTTTGGAACACCACACCATAACAACTATTTAATCAAATATCTTCATGCAAGAATCTGCCAGTTTGGTTCTCTTTTCTCAAAAGGTAAAAATGCAGTTGCTAGTAAAATGGGATAACTATACAAACCTCCCTTGAGAACTCTACCAATTTCACTGATGAGTATTTTTTAAGTTTTCAATGCTGGACTTACCTCCCTTATTTTTGAATTTATGTAGTAACAAAGTCAGCTAGCCCATGTAAACAAAAGCTACATAAAAGTTCAAAAGGGAAATGCTAAAAAGTATGTCTATTACTAATTAACTTATTCCTACATGCATGGTCTATAAAATGATGAAGTTGCACAAAAGTTAACTATCCAATGCCATATATCATAAACTATAAGTTCATGAATCAATGAAGAGCGTTACAATGACATATTAGTGAAGCTAAATTTGATCTACAATTATTTTTCATTGATTGAAAATTCAGCTATATATTATTTGTTCTCCGCTAAATTTGTATATTCATTGCTTAAAGAGTTCAAAATGCTTTAAGGTTGTTAAGCCAACCTACCTTTCTGTGGTGGAACATATGAGGCATGAAATTCTAGAAAAATTCGAGCAAGCAGCCGTGGATGAGTTAAAGAAAAACGGAGTACTCGTGGCTATGAACACCGACAAATACATCAATCGATTCAAGAACCAGCTCAAAGGTACGTATTATTACTAGTAAACTGCGTCATAGTCATACATCACCTTTGAGTCCTTTATGATTTACTCCACGGTTCAGATATGCCCGAATTTACATTGAAATTTCATGTATAACTTTGTATTTTTAGATGCTGCTGTCAAACAAGCAAACTGGAATCAAGATGCAGGACAATTGAACCAACTGCAGTTAGTATTAGACCACGCCATAAAAGTGATTCGTGACACGAATGAACTGCTGGAACAGAAAAAGGTAAGGAAGCTACAAATTAATGTATCTATTTAGGAAGTTGGCTGATGAAATCATCAATGATCATCTAGTTTCTAAGTTGGCTGGAGTATAAGTCTAACTTGATGTTTAATTGTCTGACTTTCCAGAAAGATAAACGAGCGTTCTGGTTTAAAGTTGGATCAATTGGGACAGGTGTGCTGACTGCTGCCTCAGCTGCGGGTAGTCTAATTTTGGCAGTAGCACTCCTTTAATCTTGAAAGAACTGCTGGACACGAAATTATTAGAGGTAATTAAGAGATATTTCCTAGCTATCTGTTCAATATTTTTTTAAAGTAAAATACCTTTTATCAGAAATAGATAAAAAAGCGTTTCCAATGAGAAAACTCTTAAGTTCCATGGCGTTTAAAAAAAAAAAAATCTGCAAAGATTTCTCAAGTTTGTCTCAGAACATATATTGCTCGTTCTAACCTTTCATTAAATTAGTTTCTACACGATATAATTTAGTGGAGCCAATATTATACCCTTGCCAATTTCTCACCTAACATTATCAATTGTTACGATGAACGCTAGTTGGACAGCAATGGCATGCCTGCAAGCAATAAGATTCAATTATATCACACAATAGTTGTTAGAAACTTCTACTTGTAATTTCTAATCAGTTTAATTATTAGATGTGTTTCTGTGACAGATTCACAACACTGACAATATTATACTGGTTGTCATTTGTTGCAGGCCATTCTTACCGGTGGTCTATATCAAGAATACAAGACTTGAAGATTGTTGTTTGCTATTATTGTCCCTTATTTGCGTGCCGGTTTTCACTGTTTGTTTTGTTTTCTTTGAAGGATTTTTTTTGTGCTCTTCCAGGGGCTTTGCTTTGAGTTTGGGTAACTCAATTTTTATCTTTCTTTTCTTGATAAGATTGTTTCTTCTAAAGGCCTCATTTGCGACATTGATGTTGTTGGTTATAATAATGTTTGTGGACAAAATATAAATTTGCAGATTGATTGTCATTGGGCTAAGGAAACATGCTTAGTTTGTTTTTCTGATGAAAGAAAATTGCTTAGGTTCACCAATCATGCTTTTAGTCGTGACCTTGATATCGTCGAGTGATTAGAAGAAACTTATTGATCAAAGCCTGATCAAGACAAACACGTTATTCATCTTAGATGGAGTATATAAATGTTTATGTTCAACCAGCTTGACAAAATAATAAATCCTGGAAACAGATCAGTGTGAAGCTCGGACTTGATCATAATAGGGGCTGCCAATAGAGAGGGTTTGGACTTGATCAACTGAGGATAGATGAATTCAAGTTTCTTAGCAGTTTCAGAAGATGGTTCAATGTGTAATTATAGATATGGTCCACTAATTCCTTTATGGACATAGATATGGTTTGATACCACTATTTCAAATATTAATAAAGGACTGTGACCGAAAATAAAGACTTTATAAAGACATATATGTAACTTCTATTAATTGTGGGTGTGCCTCAGTCACTAGTTATATTAATATAGGTACACAATGGGAGCTTGCTTTTTCTGTGCAATTCAATAGGTTATTCAATTCCGTTTTATTTTTCTTTTGACGTTTTATCTTACATAATCACTCCTCTTTCCATACCGATGGTTAGGTAATTTTAGAGTTTTATATGAACTATTCAATTATTTCAGCAACTTAATTTGTTTTTATTTTTTTAATAAATGACATGGGTCATTTCATAAATATCCTAATAAGTAAATTAGAAAAGAAGACTTAATAATGTGGCTATGGGAATTGTAAGAAGAAACTTAAGATGGCAGGCCCTAGCCTTGTCGTGCATTTCTTGATGAACAAGACTACGATAGGAATTTCATTTAGGGCAAATTACACTTTACCTCCTTATGGTTTAGTATTTTTTATACATAACCTTCATATGATTTCAAAAGCTATACATAATCTCCTCATAATTTAGATTAAAGTGTCAAAAAAATAGAATTTGCAATTCGTAACGAAATCACCTAAAATGTCAAAACATACCTCTATGTAAAGTTAAAAATTATTTATTAACCACAGGAGGGTTATGTGTATATTTTGAATATTATAAGGGGGTTATATAATAAAATATTAAATCATAAGAGGGTTATATGATAAAATATAAAATCATATGAGGTTAGCGCGTCTCATATATTATATTCATATATTTTGATTACTTCAACTATTTTATTTTTAAACAAGAGTAATTTCGACATTTTCAAAAGTTCTATTACGATTGATCATTCCTATCGCTTTGACACTTTAATCCAAACCATAAAAAGGCTATGTATAACTTTTGAAATCAAAGGGGATTATGTACAAAAAAAAATACTAAATTATAGGGGGATAAAATGTAATTTGTCCTTTCATTTATGTTTCTTGAGTACATCTAATTGATAGAAAAGGCTCGGAGTCGTCGACCCTTTACGTTTTCTCATCTATTTCTGCATTGCTATGAGTTGTGATTCAACGTATAGATCCCCTTTCTCACTTTTTTTGTCCATTATTTGTAGACCATATATGTAACTTAGCCCTTTTACCCTTTAATATTGAGTGTGTTTGGACAGGAGATTATTTGTCCAATTTTATTTACTTACATCATCATTATAATTTTCAATACATCTTTTTATCTTATCAATTATCTTTTTATCTTACATGTATCACATCACAAAAAGTCCTACAGTAATTATTCCAAATAATATTTCAAATAATCTCCTATCCAAACACACTAATTGTTTTCAACTCTTCTGAGTTTAAATCTTTCAATAAAAAATGATGGACCCAAAACAATAATCAAACATAAACCCACATGAAAAATCAAGAAAAAACGATATTGAGACAAAGGAAATTCTTCTTTTGTTAACCAGAGGAGGGTATGACTTTCTTTCAAATCTTCTCACAAAAAAAAAAAAAAAAAAGAACCGAGAGACTACTATTCTAATCACAATGCCTTGCATAGGTAACTCCTATTACAACTACCGCTAGTAATAAGGGATTCAATCCCACGTGACCACTCTAATAACCAAACAATAATACTAACCAATCCACCAATGCCACATGGCAACATAAATAAATAACCAAAGGCTTGATTTCTATTTCTACAAAGAAGTTTCCCAATTTAGGAATCCAGCCTAATTGGACACATGCCATTCGTGTTGAAACCTTAGGTCCTCGCAAACCCCTAATTCTTAAGGGAAGGAAGAAACCACGTGAAGATGACCTCTAAGAGTCTTGATTCATCTAGTTAGAAGAAATTCCATATTTCGATTAAATTTACTATTTGCATTTATATAATATATGTGTACGTATGTGTTCACCTAAAAATATCTAATTGTCATTTAGGCTGTGTTTGATAAAACTGAAGTTTGAAATCTGAAATCTGAAGTTTGAATCTATTAAGTTATTGAATTGTTAAGTATTAAATTTAATACATTTGGTTGTATATCACATTCAGTGATAAGTGAATAGTTTATCACTTAATTTTTTAAGTAAGTTTTGCCTAGAAAATTCAGTGCTACGTAATTAATTTAGATGTTCAATTTTTGGTTATCAAACGCATCTGAATATGTTAAGATATGAATCCATTAAATGTAAGTGCTGAATTGAATTATCAAACAGTGTCTCAATCAATCAGTAGCTTCTTCTGGAGAGCTTAACGTATTGATTATATGATTTCTTCTTAACTGAACAGTTGTTCAAAGTGTAATCAATCCATTGTATGATTTATGCTTTTACTTTATGTTAACTTTCAATCAAGCAAAACGAAGAAGAAAAAATTGATTTCGAGCGAAGTAGGTTGAAAGTATTATTTTCTGTTTGATAGCTTATAAAGTGTTTCTATGAATAGTTTTCAGCTTTTTGAAAAGGTTATAAAAGGAAACAAAATTTCTACCCTTTTTAAACAAATTATTTAAGAATCGATTTAAACCAAGAAATTGTAAGGCGTCGAAAACAAACTCTAATTTAGGGCCCTTTAATTGTATTGCCCTTTCAATTGAATTGGGAGGAAGAGTATAGTTGTTTTCAAGTGTTAACTAAAAAAGAAAGATTTTGAGCCAACTGAGTTGACCTTTACTCACAGCTTCGAATTTTTGTGCCTTACTATAATTGTATGCATGCAGGAAAGAGTACAATTCTGAATCATCTCTTTGATACAAAATTCAAGGAGATGGATGCTCAGAAGGGAAGGCATGAATCAACTACTTCTTGCATAATTTATTAGTTGTTTAGCCATTTCACTGAAGTATTTTTATCCTGTGGTTCTGTTTCAGGTCTAGGACTACCAATGGTATTTTTGTGGAAAAAGTGTCATTACCACAAGGTTGCTTTCTTGTCATTGACACGGAGGGCTTTGATGGAGCAGAAAGAGAGGTGATTGCCAATTCTCAAATTCATCATCTATGGAAATTATAATAGTTTCTTGTGTCCAATGCTAAGATGTTTAATTTTTTTTTTTTAAAGAAATACTGCATGGATATTTCTTTAATTAATTCAAAGGCGACAAAATACTTTTAAGTGGATTGCTAGCTGCAAAGAGACGACTAAAATAATAATATTTTTTAGATTAAGTTCCAAAATTGAATCAAAAGAATTAACACATTGGCTGGGTACTTATTAGTGATTGGTATTTGTTTGGAAATTTTTTTTATTTACCTGCACATATTTTTCAATCAGTTTTTAACATAAAAAAAAAAAATGCTGCAATATTCTTTTTCAAAAATTATCTCACGTGATCTCTTATCCAAACGTACTAGAGTAATTTTTTTTGGTTTCCTTCGTTCACAATCTCGTCGCAAGGCATCATTGTGCTTCGGATGTTTTGAAAGCAAGTCGTGGCAACTTCCAATCCAGAAAGGGTGAGATACTTGAGAAATTGGCGTCCACTCTATACTGTACTACCTCGGGTAATACCAGCCACATGAATGTGAGGACAACAAATCCAAAGATCAATGGCCCAGTTACCAGCTGTGGCGTCGAAGGCCATTTTCCAGCTCAAACAAGGCTGACCGGAGAATATCGGAAGCCATCCTGTTCCATCTCCGACTCCAGAAGTCGCTCAAAGAAGTGGAGAGATCAGAGATGAGGGGAATCGAAGGGCACCTCCGGCTCCATGACCGCCCCAAGCATGAGATCCAAGCGCGCCCGCGTAAAGGTGCATGCAATATAAATAAAAAATAAATGAATTTTGTTTGAAGAAAAAAATTAATTCAAAGGTCAAAGTTGAGTGGATTCTTGCCGAGTGTCACTCATCCACTCAACTTTGACCAAAGATTAAGTTTGACAATTATCCAACCAAGCTTCCATTCATCATGTTTTCTTCTTCTTTTCTCCTTGCTTGGCCAAAATTGATAGAGGAAAAAGGAGAGAAAACTTCCATTTTTCTGTCCTTGATTTCTTGCTTGATCCATGAGTAATCCGAAGATAAACCCTAATCTACTCCCATCAATCTTGAAGCAAGCTTGAAGGGAAGCTTTTGGTGAAGTTTTGGAAGAAGAAAATCTTGCATTCCTCTTGATTTGCTTGTCATCTTTGGGGTTGGAGGTTAAGAGGTAAACTTTGCTAGAAAACCTAAATTTCTTGATGTTTATATGATGATCTACTAGTTTTACTTGATGAACTACTAGGTTTTCTTGATATATGATGATTTCCTAAGTTTACTTGGTGAACTACTAGATGTCTCTACTAGGTTTTTAGTTTACTTGGTGTATGTTTTTTTAGGGTGAAAAAGGCATGACTTTTATGGAAGATTTCATGGTTTTCAAGCTTATATTGGAGTTTCCATATTTAATGTTCGATTTCCAGCCTTGAGATGAACTTTCCAGCTTTGATATGAAGTTTTCTAGCTTTGAGATTAATTTTTAGTTTTGATATGAGATGTTTTAGCTTTGATATGAACTTTAAGAATTGGTATATGATTTTTCCAGCTTTGATATGAATTTTATAGGTTCGATATGCGATTTTCCAGTTTTGGTTGAAATTTCCAGCTTTAGCGTTTAAAATTTCAATTTTGATGTACTTTACTTGGAGCTTTT